TTTGTTAATTATAAAATTTTTTGTTAATTATAAAATTTTTTATTTTATTATTTTCTTTAATTTTTATTTCATTATTGTTTTTAATAACTATTATTTCTTCAATTGTTATCATATGATTTACTTCTTTTAATTTATAAGAATTTATTTCTTTATTAACATTTGGTATTAATTTACATAATTCAATATTATTCAAGTTATTATTATTAAGATATTTATAATTATAATTTTCATGCTTTTTATTGTAATATGTACCTTCATAATTTTTTACTATCTCTTTTCTATTTTAGATTATATTTACAAATTTATTAAGTATGTTTCCAAAAATTTTTATCCATGTCCTTCCCAGAATCGCAATCTTGCCACTTTGGACTACATACGCATTTAAGTTTTGAATTTTATCTTCATATCTCTCTTTTATTTGAACGATTCCTAACATCTTTATTCTTTTCCTATCATAGCCAGTCAGTTTCGTATCCGATTTATTTAAGACTTTAATTCCTATCTTTCTAGCAATATTAATCGGCAATATTGAATACCGCGCCCGATGTTGATCTGCATGACTATTGGTAAATCATTAAGGTTTATCGTGACTTTGTAATCATCATTCGCCTTGTCATCATCATCCATTCTATTTACGTCAAATCTGTTGTTGTATGACTGATTATTGTTTTGATTATTATTGTATCTTGGTATGTATCTTGATTCGTTTTGATGTCTATAATATCTATAATTATTTTCATTATATTTGTAATTATCATTATTATTATATCTATAGTTATTGTAGTTGTTATTATAATTATTTTTTTGTTAAATCTTGTAAAATTATTATACGGTCCTGGCCCATTATACCCTCTATCATTATCATAAACTCTAGGATTATAATTGTTTCGATATCTTGGTTCATAATTATTTGTATGCCTCGAATTAAAATTATTCCCATAATTATCGTATCTCGGTTTCCATTGATATCTGTGTACGTGTGACTTCATATATTTATCATACTCATCGTATTTCATCATCCTTATATTTTTTACTATCTAAATAATCTTCTAATTAATCTATGGATTTTGTTTTATCATTATAGTCCTATATAGGTTTATTCATATTTTAAATATTTTATCATTAAAATTTTATTATATTTATTTTTAATTTTACATTTTAATCATCTCTTACGTGTTTTTATAATTATATTAACATCATTTTCCATAATCCTCTTTCGTCTAGTTTCACCATGTTCCAGTATCTAAAATCATCTTATTTACATACGCTGCCACCATTTTAGATTAACGGAAGGCACGAAAAGAATATAAAAATTTAATTTTATTTTTTATTTTATTTTTTTTTTATTTCTGATACTAAAAATTTTACAATTTTATATATATATATATATTTTAATTTACACTTTTTACATAAGTTTTTTTAAAAGGTTAAATTTTGACAACTTCGTCCTTAAAAAGTAAAATAATATTTCATTAGGAAAATATAAGATTAAAGGTCATTAAATACAAAAGTAAAAGAAATATAAAATTTTTTATATTCAAAAAATTATCTAATTAACAATTAATAATTAAAATATTTTTAAAAATATTTATTAATTCTAACTCACTAATAATTTTGAATTATAATTTTATATAATAATAAAATAAATTACCATTTGATTTCAATCTCTTTGACTAAAAATTTTCCATCATTGGTTACGCGCCTGTCATTAACATTAACTTAAAAAAATGTAAATTACTTAATAATATTAAAATACACTACCCTATTGGTACTAACTGGATGATAGGATCATTTTTCTCTAGCATAATCACTATTGTATTATCATCTTTTTGAGATTTATTAACAACAACTAATAAAAATTATATTAATATTAAACAAGAATTATATTTTACTTGAATCAAGGCCTCTTATTTTTATAGAATTATTATCTCTTAGGATCATCACTAAAGATTAATATTAAACCCTTTATTAATATAAAATGTGCCTTTATCAGTCCTTTTCAAATTTATTCTAATTTCCTTCTCTTTTGATATATTTGCATGAATGATACTTAATATTTCTAATACCCAATTTTTACTTAAAATTGAATCACATTTCTTATTATGATATTGGTAAAAATTAAATATTAATAGATATGTTTATTAATTTAACAAATATGAAATTACTTTTTTCATTTACATTCTTCAAAAAATATTTTCTGATATCCATATCAATATATAATTCTCTATTTGATAAAATTATTTGATTGTCATCCGATATTAGATAAAATTAGATATACTGCAGGTAATATTCGCTGTTTGTATTGTGCGTTAATTTTTTTAAATTTATATAATTTAATTTAATTAATAATTTTATAATTAAATTTTACTTTTATTAAGAAGAATAGATTAAAGTTATTAACTATATAAAAAATTATATTTGATATATTATATTATTTAGTTTTTGTAATTTTATGGATCTATTAATAGTAATAAAATTTCAACTTTGTATTAAGACTTATCTTTGGCCTATATTTCATTTCTTAAAAAAATTTTTGGTTTCCACTTTTAAATATATAAATGCTTTTTTCTAAAAAATATGAATTATAGTCAATAGTTATAGTTTAAAGAATTATTAAATTTTATATTCTTTCTTTCAAATTATAGTTTAAGATATATGAATATATTTTGGGGGGACAGGAGATAAGGAGGGAACTAAGGAGGATATTTTTTTATTAGCTTAGAATGATATTCCTAAAAAGTAACATATTTCTGAGGTGTTCCCCTTCCCCCCCCTCTTGGCTAGGCCTATGATTGTAATTATAATATTGACAAACTAATTAGAATTCATCATTAATTTGAAGAGCCACATTATTTGGATATTATTGGTTTGATAAGAATTTACAATCTCTCAACCTGAAAAATGATATAAAAACAGATTTAACAATTTGCAAACTTGCATTTCAAGACCACAAAATTTATTTTTTATAATAAAGGCTATAACTACCTATAAAATATACTCAAATGCCAAAATTAGTATATAAAATTAAAACCTTATAAATTTGGTCATTTTGAAATTTATATGGGAATAATGACCCTTTTATCAAACTACTCAAGGGTAGGTATGGTGTAATTAAAAAGCCCAATTAACGAAATAAATTCAGAAATTATATTATTTTTTTAAGATTTGACACAATTTTAATTTAAAATCTATGGCAATAAAATTCATCACTTCATTGATGAACCATGGAATTTTTTTATATTGGATAGTAAGTTTTTATTTTTAGATATAATTATTTATGGAGACACAAAAAATTTTATATTTTTTTAATTTGGTTCTAATAGCATGTATAATATGTAGTGATGTTAAAAGTTACTTTTGAAACATAACTAGTTACAGTTACTAGTTACATTGGCAAAAACATAACTAGTTACAGTTACTAGTTACATTTTTACAAAAGTAACTAGTTATTAGTTACAGTTATTTTCAAAAGTAACTAGTTACTTACTTTATACATCCTTCATATGCGCATTATTTATTTATTAAATGCATTTATTTAATATAAAAAAATTTAGGATAAACAAAGTATAATCAGTTATTTAAAATAATATACAATTTATTTATATAAAAAAATATTGCAAAATTGAATATTTACATCGAATATAAAAATATATATTTGCATTGAAAAAAAAACATTTATTTTTCATAAAAATTAGAATCTAATAAATGTTTATTTGCTTTTAACAACAAATTAATTTCAAAGTTATTATCTAGGAGACGTGCTCGTTTATCTCCAAAGATGAGCTTACCTAGACTGAATAAGCGCTCTACGGGAGCACTTGATGTTAGAACAACATTATATTTAATAAAGAGTAATTTTAACTTTGGAACGTTATATAAAGAAAAAGTGTTGTTATTAGATTTGATAAAGTTTTCTATAAGTTCATTATCCAGAATATTTTGGCGCTTTAGGTTAAAAAATTCAACTACATCAAGTGATGTTGGTTTTGAGCATGATTCATTCGTCTGGGATTCACGGTATTAAGGTATTTATTAAATTTAAAATTTCCTCCTTTTTTGCTTTATTCCTTTCTTGCCTAATCCAAGGCCACTCAGTTTTAAATAAAGGGTGAAGAATTGCAGCAATGATGTTGTCATTATCATAAAGATTATTAAACCTATAACATGATATTATTAATTTATAAATAATTATTTGATTTTAGTTACTTTTTTTCAATACTAGCTAATATAGTATCCTTTAGAGGTTGACAATATTTTAATCCCTGCACATCTGCCATACATATAAGTATTTGTGTTATTGTTGGGAACAATCAGACATTTTCACAAAATTTTAAATTAATAAATTTAATTTAAAAATTAAATTTAATTTAAAAAATAAATTTAATTTAAAAAATAAATTTAATTTAAAAAATAAATTTAATTTAAAAATAAATTTATTTTAAAATTAATTTATCACAACATATTAAAAATAAAATTAATTATTTGAATATATCTTTAAAAGTAGCTAGTTACTTTTGGCAGTTACATTTCAAAATTTTTAACTAGTTACAGTTACTAGTTACAATTTTAAAAATATAACTAGTTACAGTTATTTTTTAGCCAAAATGTAACTAGTTACCATCACTAATAATATGTATTTTTTAAAAATGCATAAATAAATTTTAGCAGTGTCATTTATAATATCATATGATATAAATGTATCAATAATTAAATTTGTATGTCCGAACAAAAACCTTTTATCCTATCCTAAACTACTATATGAAACTTACTCAAATACTCATTTAATCTATTATCATTTACTATAATCATATAATTACTATAATCATTTAATTTAGATACCATTTATATATATATATTAATTGTATCTTTTTTGAAATAGTTTTGAAACAGTTCTTATATATATTTTATTTATCATCGTGTGTGATTGCTATTCTTACAAGGCGGATTCTCTGTAAGATATAGAATCGCACGATAATCATAGAAATATTTTTTTATATACAATGAAAGACCATAGTATTAGGATGATTTCCTTAAATATAAGATCGCTAAGTGACAAACTCACAATTCTTAGGCAAACTATAAACGATCAACGATACGACATCCTCCTTCTACAAGAAACTCACTTGAAAGAAACGGAAGTAAGAAATCTCTTAGAATACACCTTATACTGCAGCTCGAATGCTGAACATGTTTGGGCAGGTGTAGCAATCTTAATCCATAACAAACTAATTTATGTAAGCTTTAATCCAATTTCCAGTCTCATTTGCTGTCTTACCTTAAATATTGGTTACAAGAAAATTCACCTGTTCAATATTTATTCACCACATAATAATAAAGTTTTTTACATAGAGCTGGAAAATATCTTAAAAGAACTACCTCATCGAGATAGTATCATATTAGCTGGCGATTTCAATGCCTCGGTTGGGAAGCCTAACAATTCTACCTGCCTCGGGAACGCCACTCTAGTACAAAGTACGAACACTAATGGCAAAAAACTAATAGAAATCTGTGAACACTTCAATTTGAAAATAGGAAATACCTTCTTCAATCATCCTAACCATCACACCATGACCTACAAAAGCCCATCTTTTGGCACTACCTCACAAATTGATTTCTTTGTAATTTCCAACAATATATTTAAGTGGGTGAAGGACATCAAAGTCATCAGCAAACTGAATTTCACCTTATTTACGGACCATTACCCACTAATGCGAGCTAAGGATAAAAAATACCATTTTTCCAAACCGAAATCAACATAGCCACCTTAACTCTACACACTTCATAATGAGGAAAGACTTGGCACAGCTGAATGATCCGGTTATAAAGGAAGAGTTCATCACCAATCTAACAACATGGAGAAACACCCAAAATGGCATGATCAATCCTAATATAACTTGGAAGGATATGAAACTAAGTTTATCAAGCTGTATGAATTCATGCTTAAGACCACGAATTAAGCGTAAAGAATGGCTATCCCCTTCAACAATACAGATAATTAAAAACTTAACAACAAATATCTCCTATAACCAATATACTAAACACCACAGAAGGTAAATAACTCACTGCATAAGAACAGATAAAAGATATTTTATTGCCAACTTATCTAGATCCATACAATATAGCTTTGACAACAATAATATTTACAAGGCTTTCCAATCTCTTAAGTTACTCACTACCTTTAAATCCAATCCTCTACCAAGATTACACATTGAAAATAATAAAATTATAACGGACCCCAGGGAACAATTAGCGATATGGACAGACCATTACATGAACCTTTACAGAACAAGGTGGCCTAAACCATTATGTGACTATCCTTTCCAACCACCTAATCGGAACCTGAACAGAATAGATATAATCAATGCCATTAAAAGACTAAAAACCCATAAAGCAGCCGGAATCGATGGGATTTTTGCGGAACTTTGGAAGATAGATGCTGATTTAAGTGCTAGTCTACTGCTTCCCCTCTTTAATGAGATATGGAATACTGGCAATTTCCCAGAGGAATGGATGACATCGATAATACTTAATTTCCCTAAAAATAAGAACCCGACTAGCCTGAAGGACTACAGAGGAATTGCACTGATCCCAGTTACCCTAAAAATGTTCACGTATATTATAGCCATCAGAACCAATCATCGATGGAAACCTCTCAAACGCCATCACATCATATAGGAAGGGCAGGAACACGACGGAACTAACCATGGCGCTTAAGGTTATTCTGGAGAAAGCTAGAATGCATAAGTCCCCAATATTTGCCCTAATGATTGATCTAAGTCAAGCCTTTGACTCCATCATACAGCATAAGATCTGGCCCTTACTGGAGGACATAGGAATAGATAAACATCTGATTTCGCTTATAAAAATAATATACGATAATCATAACGTGATACCACAACATCTGAACTTAAAATCACAACCATTTAAGGCCAACAGCTATTTAATGTAATAATGAACGATATTCTGAATAAATCCTTCAAACAAGAATATGCTCTTAACCCTCGATATCTGAATCAACAATATGATAATAACATACACAACTCTCTAAATTTTCTATGCTATACCGATGATGTATGCATATTAGCTAACTCTGAGTACAAATTAAGAAACTTGCTGTCATTGTTTGTCAAAAATTGCTTTGGATACGGACTGAAAGTCAACTACTCAAAGACAAAGTTAATTGTATCCAATATCCCTCTATATAACAGCGACCCCTTTAACTTTGAGGATAATGTGGTAGATACGGTCTCGGATTTTAAGTACCTAGGAACCAGAATAATGTCATTAGGCACCACCATTTTGGATACTAAGTCGAGGACCAACAAGGCCAGATCCCGATATCATCAGCTAACTAAACTATGGTCGTCCAACCAAATATCTACGAACCTAAAAATAAGACTCTTTAAATCCCTAATTCTACCCATCTTAACATACGGATTGGAAACATGGCAGGACACTAAAAGCAACATCAACACATCCCAGACCTTCATAAACAAGTGCTTAAGAAGAATCACTAAAACTTACTATCCATACAACACCCCAAACACAACTCTCTGGAACAGGTGCGACATCCTACCTATCGACTCATTCCTTTGAGGAGATTAGAATTACTCGGCCACTGCTTAAGACATTCACGAGATAATATGATATTTTCGTCCATGGAGTGGACCCCGGATTATGGAAGGCGAAGAATCCCCAAATACTATTGGCTGGCAAAATGTCTGAAGGACATGGACTTGATCAATCTTACGTTTATAGATTTTCTTGCACTCAGCAAAAACAAGAAACATTTAAAGGAACATCTGCAATACATGCTTAAATATGGTTTAAACTAGAGCAGGAATCGTGGACGTATCAGACTATTTCTCACACTGCCTTATTTCCAATCTCTTATCCCCAGTCTAATGACAACTTATGTTTTGGCGCAATAGGAATTATGATTTTTGACGAAGTCAATGATAATCTTAAAACCGTGAATATTGATAATGATAACGATCTCCAGGCTCAATATAATAATGATAATAGTGAATAACATGGATTCTATAGACATTGCGTTATCTTCCAAGGATATACTTACCAAACATTAATTTTTTCCCATCTCTTAAATCTAACCAGGTGTCAGGTACATTATTATTATTAATATTAGCTACAATTCTAACACTATTTTGCCGGTAACGGAACTAATAGATCCCCTATTTCTTACTCCTCTCTTCTTTACTATGCTAGCTGACTACATAGTGGTACCGTCCACTATAATAAAACGGGTATACCTCATGTATAGGATCTATATACTAGTGAATATACATGGTGCACGCTACAACTCCTGGTGGGTGATGAAATTGCACCTGGCGTGGTAATGAATGAATGAATGAAATTTGGATGTCCCAAAAAAATTGGTTACCTTTAGAGGGAAATCCAGATGTAAATATATATTTGATATATTTTTTTAATTTTAATTAAAGGTCATGAATAAAGTACATATTTATAATAAATATTATAAATTATAATATTAGTACATAGATAGTTTGGGTGTACCAGATAAATGGAAATTTATTGATATACTTATGCTTGACTCCAAGTATTTAAAGAGTTTACCCTTTAAAATTTGTGCAATTATCTTTTTATTTCCATTAAATCAAGTTTACATTTTTATGTACTTTTTAATGCATTTATATTTAGAATTATGATTTTGTTGAATTTCCTATTAAAGATGAAGACATTTATTTTTGCCATCAAACCATTAAAAATGCATGTGGCACATTAGCTATAATACATGCTATATTAAATAATGTTAATCAAATAAAATTAAGTAAATTATTTTATTGATAAAAAAAAATTTTGCTTTAGAAGTAGAATCTCCATTCCAAAAATTCTATGATAGCACAATTGATAAAACCCCTGAAATTAGAGCTAAAATATTAGAAGAGTTTCAAGACATTCAAAATTGTCATAGTGAATTAGCTAATCAAGGTCAATCCTCAGTATAATAATCTCTAAAGTGTTATTTTTTATTCTATTTTTGTTTAGGCCCCTCTGATAAATGATAATATTGATTTGCACTTTATTACTCTCATTTCAAAGAATAATTTTATATATAAATTAGGTAAAATTTCACAATATTTTAACCTTTTCTATTGTAAATACTAATTAAAATGTAAAAATTGTATTTAAGGCTATCATAATATTTTTTGTTAATATTAAAATGACCTGGTTATATATCTCCAAATTAGAACCAGATTTGTAGTGGCAGATACCTTTTTATTTATCAATATAAATTAAAACTTTTTATAATTTAAGATTATTATAAAATAAGCATTAGAATTGGCTGGTCCAAAACTTGTTCAAAATTGGATTGGTTAAAAATTGTCTGAAACATAAGTTGTATTTATGCAGATACTGACCCCTTCTTATTTTTGTTTGTAATGTTTTGTGAACATTCTAAAATTGCCCAAAAATTAATTACTAATCCTATTCTAATTACAAGATAAACACATTTATAATTTAAAAGTTCAAAGTAGTTTCTAAAATTTGGAAACATAGTTTGACTTTATATTAGAGATGTACCAATATTTTTTATCAAATTAGACCATGTTAATTGTTCATCTTTTTTAAATATGAGTTATTGACCAATATGAATAAATTTACCAATTAGATCTGATAAAATGGTGCCTTAATTTAAATTTATTAATAATTAATTTTTTAAAAACCAACTAAATAGTTGAAAATGTTAAAAATATAATAAAATACACAATTTATTTTTAAAAAAATGTTTATAAATAATTTAAAAGAAATTCTAACATTCTATAATGATCATGATCATGAATAGACTAGATGTGATTCTAATTTTTACACAATATGGTTGATTTTAAAATTAAATAATATAAATAACTATAAACCAATAAAATAAGAGCTTAATAAGCCAATAAAAATAAAGATTAATAAGCCAATAAAAATAAAATTGCATAACAATAACATATATAAGAAAGATTGGTTATTGCTTAAGTCGAGGGGTATATTATTTTTTTATTATTATTTTTTTTTTGTTATTTTTTTTATGTTATTTTTTTATGTTTTTTTTTAAATGTTATTTTAAATTAATATAGTATTATTTGGTGATAATTTTTTTGTGATAAATTTTTAAAATATTGTTGCATATTTTTATTATTTAGTGATAATTTTTTTTTGTGATAAATTTTTAAAATAATGTAGCATATTTTTATTATTTGGTGATAAATTTTTAAATTAATATGTATTTTTTCTTTTAAGATATTTTAAAATATTTTTTTCTTTTTTAAAAATATTTCTTAATTCCTAGGGAGGGGAGGAGAGTAGAAGAATTGTGATGAGTCAATTTTATTCATTAAATTGAAATATAGTCTGATAATCTAAGCAATTTTAGGAAAATTAGCATAAAATCTTAAATTTTGTATTTATTAGGGGTAAAATAGACCCCATCTTTAAATTCTAAGTGATTTTTTTAACCTTTGTTGGGAAGGGTTAATTCGAAATAAATTGAAATATATTATTGAAATTTATACAAAATAAAAATATCGAAATATAGTAATAAACGAGTCAATTTTATTCATTAAATTGAAAAATTGTATTAAAATGTATACAGTCATTTATAAATAGAATAAAAAGATCAAAGCGATTTAATAATTTATGTTTTCTAAAATATCTATATTCAAGTAAATATTCATGAATATTCTCTCGATCCCCATGTCTTTTATAGTAATGCTTTCTAAAATTAATAATACCTTTAAAAATTTATGTTTCTCATTTACTTCTCTATCAAGTAATTACAATATATTTATACTTACTCAATATATAAATTCATAACCAAATATTAATTTAAAAATTAATATAATAAAATTAATTTTTAAAAACCGCAAATTTTTTCAAAGAATTAATAAAAAAATTGAAAAGATCTTAAAATTTCCATATTTTTAATATATTATACCAATTATTAATTTAATTAAAAATATTAATTAAAAATATTAATTTAAAAATTAATATAATAAAATTAATTTTTAAAAACCGCAAATTATTTCAAAGTATTAATAAAAAAATTGAAAAGATCTTAAAATTTCCATATTTTTAATATATTAATTTCCATATTTTTAATATATTATAATGTAATGTTATTATAATATTTTTTCTCTAAAAATCAAAATTCTCATTAAACATTCCCTTTGTTATTTTTATTTTCAATATTATTTTTTAGCCTTTCGTATTATCAAGCCTTTCGACTTATAGACCTTACGTAAAAAAAATAACAAAAAAAATAACATAAAAAAATAACAAAAAAAAAAAATAAAAAAAAAAATAATATACCCCTCGACTTAAGCAATAACCGAAAGATTATATTACAAAATTTAATATAGAAGGTGGCTGAGTGGGACGAACGTTTGCCTTTAAAACGTTAAGTCATGGGTTTGAATCCCGTTTTGTACAAAAAATTTTCTTAAAATTTAACATTAGAGATATATAGTCTCCATCGATTTATTTAACATTAAGAAGATAGAAAAGTTGATAGGAAAGATAAAAATTAACATTAAGAAGATAGGAAAGTTGATAAGAAAAATAAAAATTAACATTAAGGATATACGAAAACGTTCATTTCTTGATTACGGTGATTATATATATAGATTGTTATATTCCATGCCAATAAATTTATACTATATTTAATTTGTTTTTATATTCGTTAATTTTGCATCGAGCATAAATTTTCTTTATAAATATAAATTTTCTTTTGAAATTTATAAAATAGATCTTAAAAAAAGTCGATCCTGGATTTCAATTTTTTGAAAGGATTGTGATCGGGATTCGATCCTTTTAAAAGGATCGATTAACAAGCATGGAATTATGTTATGGGATAGTAAAAATTAAAATATATTAAATATGTATAACGAACAAAAACAAATTAGTGATATCGGATCGGTAATCGGTTATATCAAAAATATGTAAGCTATTAATATATTATTCAAATAAGTATGATATAATTTCAAACTATTTAATTAGTAACGATTCCAGATCTCTAAATTGAGCAATTAGTCATTGTCTCGCAACATCTAAATCTAGGTATCCAGAAAATCGGTTTATAACATCTAATCCTTTATCAACAATTTCATTTTCTTTATTTATCTATAATATCATGGGTCGAGTGATGTATCTCGGCAACAAAAAAATTTTCTATTTTTTTATAAATTGTTCGATCTCTATAATTTCCCGTAAGAGATTTCCCAGATATGAATAAATGCTTGATGAACGTCCGATAAGTTTGAGAGCGTTGGCATCCTCTATTTGTGTAGAAATGACTTTATAAAATTGTATATATGTGCAAGATCATTTAAAAACTTCATTATCAAGAAGATTAAGTCTCTTAGCAAAATATGAAGGATTGCCACAAAATATCATTATTGTTTAACAGACTATTAATTATTATAACTATACTGTCCAAAGAGTTGGGTTGGCTTGGCAACTTTAAGGAAACAATCATATTTTTATCTTTTAAGTAGTTGTTTTTCCTTAAGCGTGTAAAAGAATGTAGAATTTTACATATTTTGTAATAATTTGGGCTTTTGCTACTAAAATTTAAATTGGCAATATATTTGCTAGATTTAAAAACAAATTGAGTCTATGAAAGGCAGACCCAATGCATTCGATAATTAGATATTTAATTCTCACAAGTGTTTAGGCTTTCTTCATTACTTGCAAGATCATTTAAAAACTTCATTATCAAGAAGATTAAGTCTCTTAGCAAAATATGAAGGATTGCCACAAAATATCATTATTGTTTAACAGACTATTAATTATTATAACTATACTGTCCAAAGAGTTGGGTTGGCTTGGCAACTTTAAGGAAACAATCATATTTTTATCTTTTAAGTAGTTGTTTTTCCTTAAGCGTGTAAAAGAATGTAGAATTTTACATATTTTGTAATAATTTGGGCTTTTGCTACTAAAATTTAAATTGGCAATATATTTGCTAGATTTAAAAACAAATTGAGTCTATGAAATGCAGACCCAATGCATTCGATAATTAGATATTTAATTCTCACAAGTGTTTAGGCTTTCTTCATTACTTGCATTATTTATTATGTTAATTTTTGTGTTTCCTATATCAACAATTACTTCACTGGATATATATATATTCACCCTTATGCATATTGTTCCATGTTTTAATTGATTCATAGAAAATGGGACTTGGATTTGCAATAATAAAAATCATATTACATTCCATTCTTATATTTGCCCACCCATCATTAATAAGGGCCAAATTTTTATCTTATCTTTTGTTTACTATATTTTTAATCCTTTCCTATTCGTTTAACAAAATTTTTACTGACTAAATATCATGTGAGCATTTTAAATGCTTTTAAGATTGAAATAATTTCTTCTAAGGGGGGGGGATAATTTTTTGAGCATAAAAATTTATTGGAATGATATAGAATTTATTAGAATTAATCATCATATAAAATTTATTAGAACCAATCATATTTGAATATATGATAATTTCGAACACAAAAATGATAAAACATTAGAAAGTATAAAATATTAAGAGCGAATGTAATACGGTTAAAAAATATTATAAATATCAATGTTCACTGTATTTCTTGGAGGATTATCTACAAAAATGAATCTTTCATACAATTTAAATTCTGAAATTAATTGGCCTGATGCATTTATATACTATTAAAAAATTTTGCCAAATATATAATTTTTTAATATCAAAATTTGATATATCCTCAGATCAAAGAGAGTTATAAGATATAGTATTTGAAAATTAGATAGAGCCAAATGATAAATCGCATATCGTTCATAGATTTGATTCAAAGTCAAAAAGTGGAATAGAAACGCTTATTTTATAGTAATCCTCAAAGGTCCACGTTAATATTAGAACGATTTGATTGTCGGTGGAAGTCGAGGATTCTAAGTCTCAAAATTTTTTTCACCTCAACAATCACATAAATCTCGATAAATTCCTTGTCAATTTTATCTCTTGACTTTCTAAGTTTCGATATAATTATTCGCTATTCTCATAATTTCAGCCAAATCCATTTTAGACGCATAAAATTGTTGTGTAATAAATAATTTATTAATATATTCCAATGAAAAAAATCGGCAGTCATATTAAATCTAATAATGTATCCATTTCAGGTGAAATATCTGTTTCAGGTGATTATGATATTTCTCCAAAAGCATACAAATTAAGCACTTCTTGATCCAAGAAATGTTGTAACCGCTTGATGTCGAAGGCTATATCTTATAGTGCAGGCGTTTTGTAGTTTCTTTTTTTTGTAGCACAAGAAGTCTCAGAAAAAAAATTGTATTTGGAAAATTCTGTCTATTTGAATATCTGAACATTTCATACACTCTTGAAATTTTCTAATAATAGTTATTAGTAGATATAAATTAAATAGAATTTTTTTTATATCCTTCAGTGTTTAAAGTTTAAAAAATGTAAAAAAATAAACTTTAAATTTTCATGAGATAAAATATTAATATGCAAGAAATAAATATTTAAATTAATTTTAACTTTTTGCTAATATTTAGAATAGAATAAACCTATATGAAATAAAATATTTTGTTAACAATTCATGAATCCCTTTAATATTTTTCAAAAATTCTTGCTACATAGAGGATATTTTTTCTCTCTCCCATCCCCTAACTGGTAACTTGCATTATGGAAAATGAACAATTTTACATAAAAATGGTATTGTGAAATTATCAATATATTTCATTAAATTATATTTTAGATATTTATATTATTATTAGTTGAATTAAAATTAAAAGAGGAAGTCGGCTTTATCCTATATTTTTTTAACCTTTAATCCTACTCCTTATCCTTATTTCAGTTATTTTTAAAAAAATTAAATATATTTCAGATAAAAGATTTCCTCCCGATGAATTATTAGAGTTGAGCTATTATTATATTATCGAAAATGAAAGTACATATAAAAACAAAACACAATTATAATATATGTATCAGGAGGAAAAAATATTTTTCTAAAATATGATAAAATGATTATTTGAATCAAAAAAACATTAAATAAAAATAGGGGAAATTTCGAAGTTTCCTGGGAAAACCCTATTCCATTACGTTACATCTCTATTAGTGTCACCAATTATCACATAGTTAGTGGTGCTGCGACAAGCCAAAATTTCTTCACTGAATTTAGATTTATAAATTTATTTTTTTGCACGAAAACTAAAATTAAAAATTTACTTGAAACAATTTTTATAATATTAAAATTATTTTGTTTAAATTTGATGGACATAGTGAGGATCTTCTTAAATTTAATGTGAGCCCCTGAAAACTCTTAGTAGGAGTGCTTATAGCTGGGACATGTAATATTTTTCTGACGAACTGGAAATTTAGGAAGATCTAATTATCTCTTTTAGCAAATTTAGAACATTATCTACTAGTGAAGATAGATGAGAAAATGTTAAGTGACATTCTTATTTAATTATAGCTGCACCGATCCACAATATTTTCACCATTCCGATATTTTTGTCAATATTTGTTTCAAACAGCACCGATCCGATACTGACCACATTGATTTTTTTATCATTATATAATATACATAATGAAAAAATAAAATCGGTGTATTAAATTTTAAAAAGGCATTTTATTCAGAATATTCACTTATCCCGGCCTTTAAAAATAAAAATGTCTCAAAACTTTAAAATTCTAAAAATTTATTAAAAAGAAAGTTACTCACATATAAAATATTAAATTAATATTTTAGATTATTATTATACATTGTATATATATTATTATTATGTGTTTTCCTTCAAAATAGCAAGAGTTATTAAATATATATTTCGTTATCAAATTTAATAAAATCAAATATATTCACGATATTTTTGAGATATCTCTTCAAAATAAAAAAAATATAATTGTCCTGTTCCTTCTTAAAAACAAAATAAATCCGCCCCTGTATTTATTTATTTCTTTTCCAACAAATAAAATAGATGGCCAACGACAGGTTCATATATATAAAGTTAAATGTTCTTTTTAAAACAAAATCCCTTTGTTGCCACTGTATTTTTCTAACAAGTAAATAAAATACATGGCTAATGATAAGTTCATATATATATCATCATGTTAAACTTTTTTTAAAACTTAATATATCTTTTTTACAAAAACCTTAATTACAACACACCCTACACAGGCCCATCGTCTGTATATTCAACATTCTTCTAACAGCATTATCTCCTCCACTCGATTAACCATGCAGCACATTTCGCCTTCCATTTCCTTCCTCGTAATCGCAAACAATCCCACCTCCTCCCTACTGTTTCATCAAGTAGGGGAAGGTATATTCTCTACTTTCGAATGTCCGCTTGTTGATTTTTAGATTTGATCATTTTTGCCATGTGGACTTCTTGCTTCAGTTCTACGGGATATTGAGCAAAAACTCATCTCCTTATGATATAGTCCTACGTTCCTCGGCGCATCTTTGTCTTACGATTCCTATATCCTTCTCTGGCAATGAATTTTAATATGACCCCATTCGACAGCGGAAATGACTTACCTGTTTAACATTAGCTTGACCAGGAGGCAGATACCCTTCTTCCTTCCTTCTGCTAACTACGTTCTTATCTGCCGTCCTTGACTTGGTAAGCCTTAACTGTTGCTCCACTGATCTTCCCATCTTTTACTTCCTCTTTTCCTTCCTTCCCCTTTCCTAATTAGCTGTTAAATTATCTTAACCATATTTTTGTTTGATCACGGTGACGAATACCCTCCGTTCTTCAAACTGTATACGATTTAATTTTTTTCATAATCTTTCTATTACATCCTTTTCCCGTAGTTTTTTCATTGGTACCATCGAGCCCATACTATTTGACCGATGGGGTATATTGTAACATTGAGTTCTTTTGACAGAACATCAGTACCACCCTTTGGTTTTAAAAGATCCAAAAGGACTCTAGTTTTTCTACCTAAATTTTTCAGTTGGAGTAACACTCCCCACTGTTCTTAGAATTATAATGATATAACTGAGCGATCCAACCTCGCCCTTTTATATTTGGCCTTACCAATTTTTAACAATGGCCACCATCCTCTCAGCTTGCCCATTCGAGCTAGGATGATATGGTGGTGCCAAAATATGTTTAGTTTGTGTATTAGCACAGATTTAAAATTTTCGCTGATGAAAGCTGGACCGCCATCAGAGACAATGACCTCTGGAATCCTGAATTTTGCCTGTAAATTTTGTAATATCTTGATTACAATATTAGTGGTTCTAAGAAGTATCATTATTTATTTAAATCAAAAAAAATCGACGTGTATACGTTCCCACAATTGACGTCTACATCTTTATGGGGCATGTTGGCATAAGTATTACCAGGAATACATTTTTTTGTAATTATTTCAATTTCTGTATTCATAACAGGCCACTATATATTATCTCGGGCCCATTGTTTTCCTTTCAATGCCTTGATGATCAGCCTGTAATATTAACATCTTATTTCTTAATTTTTTAGGAATAACCTCCCGGTTCCCTAGGGTAACACAATCATCTACTATGGACAATTCTGTTTGTATTTTTTTTATAATTATTTTCATTGTTTTTCCAGGATGTTGCCCCCGTTAAACCTAATTTTAATCAGTTTAATTCCTTATCTCTTACGCTATGGGTTCTGAGTTCATCCCAAGTAGTGGGACTCCCTTTTAGGGTATGAGATAAGCTACGAATTAAGTTTTCATCTTCCTTGGAAGATTCTATGTTATTTACTTCTAAACTTTCAGTATTCGGTCTCAATCTGGATAAAAAATCAGGTAAGTGATTTCCCCTACCTCTTCAATATTTAAGTTCCAAATTGAAACTTCCGACCAATAATAACCACCTTTGTAGCCTAGGTTATAACATTAATTATTTTTTTTCCTTAAATAAATGAATTAATGGTGTGTGGTCGGTATATACTGATCTTATCGATGTGATACTCCCGACACTTGGTTAAGCCAAATATTAATGCTAGAGCTTGTTCAATTACTGAATATCTAGTCTCTACATCAGAAACCCTTGAGAAAAATAGAATTGGTATTTATATCATTTATTAAATGTAATAATACTCTGCAACGCCCTTATTAGATACGTCAACGGCCAAAATTATTGGTAAATCAATATTTAAACATATTAAAATGGGTTCTTCACCATTCTTTTGTTTCAATAATTAGGCCGTTTGCTGTGATTCTTCTCATTCAAAATGTATACCCTTCTTTAATAAATGATATAACGAAGCAGCTATGTTAGCAAATTCTCTTATAAACCTATGGTAATAATTTACCATACCCAGGAATTACTGAGCCGCCTTATTTTTGGGTTGCTTTATATATTTTTTAAATATTTGTCAAGAGATTTTACTTCTACTCCCTTTATGGTATGACCCAAATAGACTATCATTCTTAATACGCTTTTTTCTCGACCGTCCCTTAAACCATTGTCGAGAATTCGTTAAAAACTTCTTCTACCCTATGATTATGTTGCTCAGGGGTTACCCCCGTAATCAACGATCATCCATATAATAAAAGACACCTTCCAAAGATACCATATTGCGCTGGAAAACTGGCGCTGAAACGCTAAGACCAAAAGGCAATCGGCAAAAAGCAAATAAATCTTTAGAAGTGGTAATTTTAAATAATTTAATATCCTCTTTAAGAGGTAATTGTAAATATGCTGTGGAAAAGTCAATTTTAGAGAAATTTTTTCCTCCCTTTAAATTGGCTAAATCTCTTCAATTCTAGGTAATGGATATTTAACCTCCACCACCCAAGAATTGAGAGTAACCCGAAGGTCGACGTAAGGCCTTAACTTTCCATATTGGAACCAAAGGTTTGACCCAATTACTATAATCAATAGGAACATTTATATCGCCCTTTAACCACCGGTCTCACGCGACGCAGAAATTTCGTCTGGAGGAATGGGGGGGGGGGGGGTATAATAAAAATTTTAAAGAAATTTTATTGTTTTTTAAAAATATCAAGCATAAATTTATAAGGACTAATAACTATTTCTAATACACAATTTTAAATTAATGTGAATTATAAAAAAATTATATGTACAAACCGGCATATAAAATCTATAAAATAAATATGAATTAAAAAATATTAAACGGATATAACTAGCAGTATATGAAAAACAATATGAATTATAAAATATAAAGTGAATAACCACTAAAAGAATCACTTAAATGACCCAAAATAAAAATTTGAATTTTTTGAGCCTTTAAAATTTATATATAAAATATAAAAAATTTGAATGTTAGAAATATAAATTAATACACAAAAAGTTTCTTAGGAATAATTGTATTATGTATGTTATATATTTACAATGAAAAATCCAATCTTCGTTGGGATTGTTCTAATTTTTCAATTATCTCATCCTTGCTTGTCGTCAAATGCTTATGAATATTCAAAAGATCCAAACCTTTCAATCTACTTTGTGGTACTTCTTGGTATGTTTTTCAGAGACCTGCAGACCCGGCCCCTGGGTAGGACCGTTTTTAATTTTTTTAAATATACCCGAGCTGGGCCCGAAATTTTTTTAAAAAAACACCCGGACCGGGCCTGAATTTTTTAAAAAAAAATATTCGGGCCGGACTGTATATTTTAAAACAGCCTATATTTGAAATCGTTATTATTAGCTATAAAAATCAAAAATAAATATAATTTATTTTTTAAAAATCCGGGCCGTGCCCTGAAAATGGTACCTCTACAGGGCTCTGTTATTCTTCTTAAAAAAAAGAATGTTCTCACATTAGTTTGGGAAGAGTTGCTAAGATATATAAGCCCTTTTAATACATTGGGAATATAGTGTTTGAAATAATGCAGATCATCCATAGCATTTTTTGGGACTATATCATCCATAGTTAATCTTATAGTTATTTAACTAATAAGGCATCATAAGATACTTTAACATCTTCATGATAAAAATCTAACAAATATTTTTTTTCTACCACCATCTGAAAAAGTTTAGGAAGGCTTTTGTGGAAGTAATATTTTCAGATTGGTAAGTGTTGCATGATGAATTAAAGACCACATTTATTTGGGTTATAAATATATCTAAGATATAAATATATAGATATACTCTTCTACTGATCCTATATTAATGTTTTAACGATGAGCTTGCCTTGCTGCAAATCGAGGGAGAAAATATTAAACACATATCCCTCTGCTTTTGACTCAACAATAACATATAAAATATGAAATTCTTCATCAACTAGCCCTAATATCCTTTAGTTTTAATAAAATGCTCTCCGCTATTCTCATCAAATATTACGCCCGAAAACTTAAAATCGAAATTAGATAAAATAACTTAGTAGATGAATGTGATAATAAATATAATTAAATATATATTTAATATGAGATATGAATAAATATTAACAAATATAAATTAATATAAACAATAATATTTTTGAAAAATATATCCGGCATCTGCATTTTTTGCCCACCCCCCTCCCCTCTGCGTGCGCGCCTGACCGGTCTGATTTGATTTCCCCTTCCTTTCCCCATTCAAAAGATACTCATCGGCACCCTAAAAAAGGGGAGTAACACCTTATTTTAGTTTAAGGCCCACCTGGTAGTCCTTAAGACATCCCAAAGTGTCCTCAAATATTATCTCATATTTTTTTATTAATGTATCTATTGCATTATGAACCTTATTTAATTCATACTTCTTGCTCAATTACTGATACTTGATCAAATGTTGTCTCAATCTTAGTTTTTTTTATCAATTTTATTTTGTATATCATTTTTAGGACTATTTAGCCCTAAAATATTGCTCTTTGATTCTATCTCAACCTGAAGTTTTGAAATACACTGATTATTGAGAAAATTTAATTTTTCATTACTTAAATCCGGCCCTTCTAATTCCTTTATTTTATTCCTTCTAATACCTGTCATAAATTCATTATTTTTCTCATTATTTTTTACTGGAAATATGTTATCTTTTTCAGTAAAGATGTTACAATAATTGTTTTGTGAACCGATTTTAGTGATCCAGTCTCAACTAGACCTGTGCGCCGCCGGCAATTTTATTCACGCCGGAACAGCCATCGATTGAGATCAGCGGCGTAAGCCGGCTAGCCGCCGATTTTTCTTATGGCGGCGGCGCGGCGTGTATAATATTTAGAATGTTGTTTAATTATATTTATATATTAAATTATTATTATTTAAATTTGAATATTAACATTAATATAATAAAACATGAATTGTATTCTATTGCTTTATATAATAGAATAGTGTATATCATTTACATTCATTCATACACCATATTCATTTCGGCTATATTAATTATTTTTATGGATTTGCGCGTTTTAAACCACCCTATATACAATTATGAAATAACAACTCTCTCTACTAATCAAAAATCAAGTTATGTGTGGAAGTACTTTGGAAATCTTATTTTGAAGAATGAGAATAAGAAAAGCACGATAATGCCTGATTATATTTATTGTGAACCTTGTTTAAAATTGGGGAAAAAAAATGAGGAAGATTCGGATAAAAATAATCCATTTTCACAGTAATTTATTTTAATTTTAGACTTATATTTATATATAATTTATATTTTAGTTATGATATCAAATGTTATAGCAAAAATATAAGTACGAGTAACCTTTCTCGTCACTTAATTAATGTGCATAAAATATCAGAAAAAACTAATAATAATAAATCCATTGAAACTCTAAAAATGTTTCTAAAGCCAACGCCAACATGTAGTAAGAATATAAAAGATAAAAAAATCTTTTATTTGTAGTGAGATCCATTTTCCTATGATATAAATAACTTATAAAAAATTAAATTTTTAGATATATTCAATAATAAAGAAATATACATTAATAGTTGAATTATCTTTTATCTCATAATAAATCGTTTAAATCTTTTAATATAATTATATTAAAAATATTAATAATTAAATTTTAAATTTCAATAATATTAAATCCGCGATGGCGTATTACTATTTTATAAAAAAATTTAAAATTATTTTTTGTTTTATTATATTCTAATATTGTATTATTACTTAAAAAGTAAGCTAAATTCCATATATTATCTATCATTCGAAAAATTGCAAGAACAAATATAGGTTTTTATAAATTACATATGATCACATTTTAATGGTTAAAGTAAGATAAATTAATTTTTTAAAATAATTTTTGCATACTTGATATTTATCTTTTTTATAAATAGCCACTTTGTTTTTATTGCCATTATTACAATATTACCATACAATAATATCATTCTAATAAATAAGATATCACAGAAAAATTTTATCGAAAATATAATGTTTATAAAAGATTATTTTACACAGCAAAAAATGTATATAATGTATAAAGATTTACCATTTTTAGGGGAAATATATAATTTAGATAAGGGATTCCGGTAATTTTATAAATGTTATATTTTATTTGTAAAATGATATATTGGTTTTAAGTAAAGAATGGAGAGGGGGGGATTGGTGTATTTGTTCGAATTTTCAGTTGATTTCGAAAGATTTTATTTGCTATTCTGAGATATAATAACTTGGGGTTTTAACGTCGGCTAATATCTAATGAGAATTGTTGGTGGGTTAAGCGTCCATGTATTTCTTTTTCTACAAATTTTGTTTTGTTAAGTTAATCGTTAAAGTAATATAATTTGATTGTTTAAATGACCATGAAAAATGTCTTTGGATTTTATAGCGAACTTTTGGGTGTTATGGCCCTAAAAAGGGCCTTTGGATAAATTAATTCTGAAATAAATTAGTGCCTACTGGTTAATTTTTATGTAGGAACTATAATAACTAGGCTCTAGTTCTATCTGATCTAGATCTTTTAGATTGACACGGTTTTTTAGATCCTGTAGGTTGAATTAATGTCAATCCACCACATGACGAGGTAATTTTTTTTCGTTTATTTGTACTATGTGATTTAAGCACATTTAATATTATTTTTTTACTTTGATCGTCACTTATCTAGTCCCATTCATGACGAATTGTTGTCACATCATACTTTTTTGTTAAATAATAATTTCCCATACCAAGAAGGGCTCTTTCAAAATCTTTTTCTTGTGCTAAACTTAATTCATAAATTTTATTGACCATCATATGCACAGGTGTTGTTAAACTTTATTTTTAACACATTATTTAAAGATTCGCAGTTAATGTTAGTATAAAGATACGATATCACCTTATTTTTTAAAGGTAAATATACATATAAAAATAAATTATTTTTTAAACTGGCATCTATATGTTTCAATAATTTAATAAACTGTTTATCTCTACAATAATCTCGCAGTTTTTCAACCTTTTCTCCAAAGATTTTATCGCTTAATGAAAATACAAGTCCTTCTTTGCCAAAAATTTTAGTTACAATATCTTCCCTTATCCTTGAATCCATTCCCTCTTTATCCTGTAAAAATAAGTTTAGATTCTTTTTCATATGATAGGTGCATAATATATGTGTAGAATTACTAATATTCTTTCTTAACGAAGTTATTAAACCTAGCTCCTCATCGCTGCCGAATATAAGATTTTCAACATTTATTTTATTCTTTTTGAAGACGCCTTCCAAGTGCGAAAAGAAAATGTTAAAAGTTTCATAATCAGAGCTGCCATGCAAAAATATAGGACCAAAGAATATAGGATGATCCTG